GGCTTTCTTATGTAATATAATTTGGGAGGAATATAGAATTGATTAATTATGTGCCATCAAATCAGTATGGACTTTAGCAACCACAAAGATAGATTTTCTTCATGACAAGGGGAGTAGGAGGGAGGTATTTTGGTGTAACATCCCAATTGGCCACTGTTATTTGATAGCTACCTTCAAACATACAATTACAATCATTTGCAGAAAAGTATCTCTACAGGAAAAGAGCTGGCAGCTGTGCTTGGTAAGCAGCAATTCATGACATGGAAGGAATTAACTGAGAGCACAGATTTGACTAACAACATCAAGAAATCTTGGGGCACAATTAGAAAGCTTAAGAAAGACCCAGAGAAACCGAATAGCAGCACAAGGTAGCAGCCAACCCAAAAGCACACCAACTGCTCCTAATGGGAAACCTCTGAACAAATTACAGAAAAAGAAAATGAAATGGCAGGAACATTAAGAGAATTAGTGTCACAGTGGGGGGGGGAGGGGTACCGAGGAGCTCAAGACTGAATAGATAAAACCTCAGCATGCAGGAGCCTTCAAGTAAAACAGCTCACAGTAGCTCTTTATTTGAAAACTTGCAAGATATAACAACTTAAATTTCTCGGAGAGGTTGACCTTTACAGCTAAGGAACATGCATCTAAAACAGATTAAATAAACCCATTTTCCATTTCCTCCCCTCTTTTTGGTGTACTGGTAACCCAAAAAGTTAGAATGTGGGTAAAACCAGTTATCACTTTCTGATCCTAACGGTCTGCCATTTGGTGATTCAAATAATGCTTTAATGCAAATATACCTTATATCAATATACCTCAACTGTTGTTATATATGTAGCTATATTAAATATTCCTTAGAGTTAATCAAGGTTTCAGCTAAAACATTGTAGCTGTAAAGATCTCACAGCTAGCAGCATCTAGATCTTTCAATATTTTTTTCTCCCTCTATATCATGTACATATGACCCCTTGAAGCATCCTCTTCCTCCTCCATCCTTGGTGAATTTCCCTTTACTCTGGAACCTGCAGCCCAAGCTTCTGACATCTAATTTGATCTACCAGCCATCATCTTCTTTTCTGTTGTTCAACTCCACCCAGAGCTCCTTTCCTGATATCTCCTTAGCCTATTTCAGTCCTCCTTTCCTTTCATGTGGAAGAATCTAAATGTATTTTTGTGAAAACCTCAATAGTTTCACTCTTACCTATTTTCCCAGATGGAACTTATCAGCTCCATGCTCAGTCTGTCTGTTCATAAGATCAGATTGGATGGCAGCCAGTATTTATTTGCTCAGTTCTGACATAATTACTATTTTAAGGAGTCTTTTACAATGGAAGAAGTATAAAAATGCATCTGAATGCTGATATTCAAACTGAACAAATATAATACTTTGGACTAGATGTCATGGAATTACTTAAGAACTGTTCAACTGATGTTTAAAGACAGACGATAATGTTATTCATTTAGTCGTGTTTGACTCTGGGCGATTCTGTGGGCCAGGTCTCTCTACATCTTCTGATCTTGCACTGCTTCTTTGAGTTTTTCTGTGCTCTGGCTGGTGTCATTTTTGAATGTGCTAAAGACAGAAAAATGGAGATAGTATTGTATTGTAGCATTGTTGAATCAGAGAAAAAATCCTTTGGATCCAAGCAATTACTACCCAATCTATATTTTGTGCTACCCATATAAGCTACTGTATCTGAACATGTACTTCTGAAAGTTCATCTATAGTGGTTGAAAAATTCATTCTGCAGCAACCTGGACTTCAACTAAGAAAATAAAATATGGGCCTGAAGATGATAGAGGAGATTGACTGATCTGGAGGAGATGCTGTACATGGGAACAGCAGGTCCCACCTGGGATCAAAAAGATCAAGTTAAAAATTGTGACAGTGAAATAAAAGTTCCTTCCTTGCACCTGTGTATTTTCATTACACAATGGTAAAAGGGGTGGGGCTGCAATTAAACAGCTGAAAATGGGTTTTTTAAAATCGCACACTGAACCCTGCTGGATGGGGAAATGGACTGTGATTATAGGAAGTAATCTAGTCCCCTTATGCAGGCCTTTCCATTCTTAATTTGTTCTATTCCAGGGGTGGGGGAACTTTTATGGCTTGTGGACTTCAACTCCCAGAATTCCTGAGCCCCAGGAATTGGGGCTGGTTAGGAATACTGGGAGTTGAAGTCCACAAGTCATAAAGGGGCCATAGTTCTCCACCTCTGTTCTATTCCCTCATCTCCCCCATCCCCTAAAGTTTTTCTGTCATCTGGATCAATATTATGCAGCAAGTCAAGTATACTTCAACACCACTCAATTAATGGCTTTATTGCAGTCATTCTAATTCACTGCACAACACATGAAAAGATAAAAAATAAACCCTTGCAACAGCTGCGTGGCAGAAGGAACTTAAGAACCCAAAACAGGGGAATATATCTATGGCTGGCTTAGCAACAGCCAACTACTTTTTAATATGAGCGCATAAAGACTCCAGCACTTAGCCATTTGGCTAGGATTGTGTGCATTCAACACCCAGTATAGGTAGTCCTCAACTTATGTCTGTAATTGATTCCTCAATTTTGGTTGTAACTCCTGATGATCATAAAGTGATTACCATGTGACTGTGCCCGATTTTACAATCTTTTTTCAAGCTGTCATTAAATAGATGCGGTAATCATAAAGCACACATGGTGGTCATAAAGTAATGCCAGGATTAAAAAGCAAACCTTGTTGTTATTAAGGGAACTGATTGTTTGATATTGGGGCGGGGTTTGCCAAAAACAGGAAGTCAATGCCAGTATCTGGCAAAGACATCACAAGTTGCAGTCACCTGGCCATAGGACTCTGAAAACGGCTGTAAATGTGGACTGTTTGCCAAGTGTCCAAAATGCATTTATGTGGTTAATGGTCTCTTAAAGCAGGGGTCCCCAACCTCCGGTCCATGAACCAGTACCAGACCGCGTCATGCCAGCAACTGGGCCGCGTAAAAAAGCAAAGCCCCATCCACAGGATGCAAGCAGCACACAAAACCACGCCCCTCCGGTCCGTGGAAAAACCTCTCTCCACGGAACTGGTCCCTGGTGCCCAAAAGATTGGGAACCTCTGTCTTAAAGTAGCGTAGAATACAATGTCTTTCAGTTCATAACTGCTTGCAGTGGCAGCAAGGGGTGTGGATTAGGACAAGACATTTGCCAATATTTTTTAATACAGGAATCCCATTATTTGAACCCATCGCTGAGCTTCAGGAAAAGAAAAATGAAAGAAAGTTCTTAAGTTGAGTGCCCCTTTCTGGACAGCTGTGTGGTTAGAGCATATTCCTTTTTATGTAGGGAGAGACATATGCATTGTGATGGGGAGTGGCTCATGACTGATATTCAAAGTGCTGCATCACCAGAGCACCTGGGAGAATGGCTGTCCTTGACTCATGAAGCCCTTTCGTTGATCAGCTCCATGGCCATGCTGTCAATACAAGAATGAAGGATGGGCAGAACATGGAGAGATCACATGCAGTGGTCAGGTAGAACAGCACACAGAGCACCACAGGAAGCGCCCCTACAATGAGGCCATATCTCTTATATGCATTTATGCATGTTGCATTGCCTTCAGTGGGGCATCTTGTGTGGACTTAAGGGGAAAAACTCTATTTCCAGAGCACAGGTGTCAAACTTGATCACGTTGCATGATGTATTGTGACATATTGTGACTTTTTTGCCTTTGCGGAGCTGGGGTGGGCGTGGCCTGCGTGTGATGCATCTGGCCTGTTCGAGAGCAACAAAACTACTTCTTGATGTGGTCTGGCTCTGGCCTGATTGTGGTACACCGCTGAATGGACAAGCAGGTGGACACAAGCCTTCTGATGGGGCAAGGAGGATATGCAAGAGAATTTAAGCACATACAAGCTTTCGGGAATGCTTAACCTAACCTGTGAAACTCCTCAAGGATGAGATGTGGCAAGGTGTTCATTGATGCTGAAAAGGATAAACTGTAACCTGTTTATAAGCATTCTTCATTTCCTTTTTCAAGGTAACATTTTGGATTTCTGTTTTGATAACTTTTGGGAATGGCTATCTTGTAGGTTTTAAGAATATCTTTGGTTTACTCTTGCTAGAAAACTTCAGAAGCCGAAGACTGGAGGTGCAGGGGAAAAATAACCACACTCCAAATTAATCAGTTGCACTGAGACATAAATTCCACTGACTTCAGCAGAACTTGTATCATCCTACACATCCCTAGGACGGGGACTCAAGTACCCATGTTGTTAATTATAGAGTAGCGTAGATCCCAACTAGATCAGGCTTCATAGCAAATTGCTTTGTGGAAACTGTCGCTTATTTAACAATTACACCCAGTTTCCTTTTAGACGGTGAAATTGTCTCATCAGACAGGAATTGCTGTTGCTTCGGTTTTAGATAAATAGATAATGTTGCACATGCCTGAAACCTGCTGCTAAAATAATCACTCTCCCAAGGCTGATGACAGTCCGCGTTTCAGTCCTCTGAAATATTCATCAATAAGGGAAGAGTTGCTGATTGCGATACTTTTTTTTCCCTTCTTCTTTTCTTTTCTCTTTTCTAACACCGGGAGGAGGGCAGACATTTGAAGCCACTAAGCAAAGCGAGAGGGAGAGAGCTCGGCTTTTCACTGCCGTTCCCCCCCCCCCCCGATTGCGCTATTGAGTAGACCTTTCAAAGGGGAGGGCGACCCTTGGAAATGCAGGGAGGGCTTCCTGTAATGCCTTCCCGATCGGTTTCTTCCCTAGAGAAGGGGGCAAGGCGGAAGCGCGGGGGTTTGCTTGCTGTGAAATTGGGGAAGCAGCTCCGTTGGTTCTGGCGCTGAGGGGGTTGACTGACAGTCTGCAGTGCAGTGGAGTTGGCGGGGCTCCCTATATGGCTAAGGATTAGCTGGATGCTAATGCCAATCGGGAAAAAGGAGCTGAGGTGAGCCTGCGAGCTGCCGCTGAAGAGGCGATCGGAGGCTGAGCAGAGCGCCCCCCCGCTTCCAGAGCCATGGCTGAAGGGGGCGAAGGAGGGGAAGACGAGATACAGTTCCTACGAACTGTAAGTATCCGTGTGTGCATCGGTGTCGGGGGTTTCTAGAGCAGCAACCCGGTTCGTTTCCCTCCAGGTCTTCCGAGCGGGTTGCATTAACTAAACAAGGTTTCTTCCCCAGTCCCTTAAGCTTTTGCTTAAGAGTGAGTCTTTGGGGAAGTGGAGAATCTTATGACAAGCCCTTCGGGAATCAGATCAGCCCCCCGGGCATTCTCCCGTGCCGGTCTGTCTCTCCTGAGATCCTCGGATGGAGTTGGCTGACCCCCACCCTACCCACCCACCCCCAAAGCGAGAGTTCGCTTGGCCATTCCAAGGCTCCTTCCCAAGCATCCTTGTCAACTTTGGTACTTGGGGCTTTGGAAATGCGGCACGCCAGATAACCTGCCCTCTGAAACTTCTCTCCAGGGTCTGCTTTTTCTTCTCTGCCAAATCCGAGAAGGTTGGGCAGGGGCAAAGGGGAAGCTGATATGCAAAGAGACGCGGGCGAACCTTCTGCAACTTCCCACCCATTCGAGGGCAAGTAGAGAGGATGAGCTTGCATGAACACTTGGGCTTCTGAAAGTAAACCAGTATCGTGTCTGAAGCTTCCTTTAAGGAATGCAGCACTTATTTTGAGAAGGGGAGTGCTGGGCAGTGAAATAACCGAATGTGCTTCTCGAAATGCTCCCCCCAAAAAAAGAGCTCTCGTGTCCTACTAGAAGCTCTCAAAACAAGCTGGAACGAAGATCTGATCCACACGTTAACTTTTCTGCTCTCCAGGTGAAATCCTCTGTGTTGACGTATTTTGGTATTGATTGGGGGGGGGGGAGGAGAAGAGTCTCGGTACTTCTCCATTTTTCACCTTCAGGAGGAACAACTCCAATCGGGGTCAAGTAGCCCTGTTGAGCTGGTAGCCCAACTTTTTAAAGGGAGATTTCCAGAATAGAACTTCTCAATAACCAAAATCAGCATCGCATCATTGTCGGCTGGTATTAAAGGAAGGAATAAGAAAGATGTGACAAAGGTCCCAGGGCTCTTCAAAAAAAAAAGAAAAAAGAAAAAAAGAAGCCAGCTGTGATAAAATGTCACGCTGGCTTGCTTCCTGAAATCATCTGATGGAAGAGCTAATTTCGGTGAAGAGCACTTTTGTTCTATAACATTTTCAGTTGCTTTATGAGATGGAACAGCCACCTGTCTATACAGGGAAGAAGCTAAATATACAGTATATTCTGGGCATCAGCTGATTTATTGTATTTTATGTTGTATTTTATGTTGTATTTTATATATATATATATATATAATTCTATCTCCAGCCATATATATATATATATATATATATATATATATATATATATATATATATATATATATATATATATATATNGCGTAGAATTAACCCGAATAACTAAAGACCTACATACAAACACCCGCGAAAACCTCAGAAAACATATATATATATATATAGGAAGTTTTTTTTTTTCAGACAGACCGGTCTGATTGAGAACACCTGGACATTTTTAACTGCTATACTGCAGTTTTTTTACTTTTTACAATATCTTTTACCATGCAGCCCCACAACTAGGGGCGTTAAACAGGCTCAAGTCGCAACTGCGAAACATTTTTTAAATCCAAATTTGTCAGAAAAAGAAATTTGGATTTAAAATATATATATATATATATATATAACTGCGAAACATTTTTTAAATCCATATTTGTCAGAAAAAGAAATTTGGATTTTATATATATATATCTTGAGTTTGGTGCACCCTGTCGGCCCAAATATGGGAGAAAGGAATCTTATATATGTATTTTTTAAAATTTGGATTGCTAACAAAGAATTAAGGGAGAACTGGAATAGCTATTTCGAACTTTTTAGTTCTTTTCAACCAGACATACCCTTCTGAGATTCGAACCTGGGCTGTCTGCATGTTAAGCAGCTGTGATAACCTCTAGGCAAAAGATTTCTTTCTCCCATATTTGGGTCGACAGGGTGCATAAAAAGCACTCAATATATATATATTGCTATCCCTCTAGCTTTGCACTTTCCAAAGTATATCTTTGATGTAAAATTCTTCCAAACAGCTAAGATGCTTCATTTAATATCCCCACTGAATAATAAAGCCAAAAGCTTCCCTCCCCTTCCAGACAAATGATGTATATCTTCTGCTTCCTGAAGTGACTTCTAATGAAATGGTTATCTGTATTCTTTACCTAGCATGTAGAAACTCTTTCCATCTTTCAGTGAATTTGGAATATTTTTTTCCTGTTCAGCATATGATGTAAAGATATACTTGCTTTTAGGAAGCTTCTTCTTGGCACTAGTATATAGTGCAGAGACTGGGCTGCTGTTTCTCCATTAACAGTATTCTCTTCCCCTCTTCCTGCTCCTTCCAGTCTTAATTTCCATCATAAAATGTAAACTGAAGCATTCTTTCCCTCCCCTCATACCAGAAAACTTATTCAGTGAGAGATAGTGATTCTCAAGACTTTTTTTTTTAAGATTCTTTATACCATACCAAAGGGGCTAGTATGATTGATTAACCTCTGGCAAATTACTTTGATTGCTGCAATCATATCAATATTAATTATTCCCTGGGCACAGCAACCATGTATTAAGGCATGTCCATAACATTAAAACATATTTGCATCTGTGTTTCTAGCTTCTTTATTGGAATAGCTAATAGAAATCCTTAAATTTTGATGTTCTAATTTATAGGGGTTGATTTTGGATTAAATGTTAAGGAATAGCTTCTTATGGGCAACATGCAACATACTCCTATTCTTCTTAGACTGGCAATGTAACTGTGGACGTGACAAGTCTGATTAGAGACAGGATTCATAGTAATAACCTTGAGAAGTGCTCTTTTCAACAGATAATTGTTAAATATAGACAACAGGATTTCCACAATTTTTTTCACTCGTTGACAGCATCAACTCTTTTGTTTGCAATCTTTATTCTGATTTATTACCCAAATTGAGTAAAAATAACGCATATGATTTCATTACTGTACTTAGACACCTAATTTTTCAGATCTCATTTGGAAGCAGTTGTCTTCTGCCTTAGAAGTAGTTAAATGTTAAGAATCAATTCAATAGTACTAAACATTTCTGTTTAGCTTTATATTGGTTGGGTGTTCAGAAACTATTTTATTGTCAAAAACAGTTTCTACAGTTAAGGATTTTAAATGGAGCTCCTAAGGTAATAATACAGCACCAGCTAAACCTATTGGAACATGTCTGCATCTACATTGGAAGGGAATTTTACTACTTTTGACCATTTGATTTCATCACTTTATTTTAAATATTTTTAAAAGGACTTATTTCCCAATTTGTTGAACTGTTACACATAATTTGCTGTGTGCCTGATATGTTTTTTTTTTAAAAATCATATAAAATGTGAAAAAGAGCATATCAAGCACACAGCAATTTATATACTACAGTTCAACAAAGTGGGAAATAAATCCTATGAACTGGGGAATAGTGAACAATTAACCATTTGAATTGATATTACAGTTTTTGTGTCATATATTTGAAAAGCAAAAAGGAAATTGGTTAGCATATTTATTGCCTCATATAAGGATAGCACAGTAAACAGGCTGATGAAAGATTAGAAAAGTTAATATCTAAAAATTAGGCATAAATACAGGGAACATAGACATGGTAGAATAGGATTGTTGTGTGCCAGTGCTGGTAACAATGGCAATGGCAATAGCACTTAGATTTATATACCGCCCCATAGTGCTTTACACTACAACACTCTCTGGGCAGTTTACGATGTCAGCATATTGCCCCTAACAATTTGGGTCCTCATTTTACCGACTTCATAAGGATGGAAGGCTGAGTCAACATTGAGCCTGTCAGGGTCGAATTCCAGGCTGTGGGCAGAGTTAGCCTGCAATACTTGTAAATGTATGATGTAAAAAAGATGCTGAGACTCTAGAAAGAGTACAGAGAAGAGCAACAAAGATGATTAGGGGACTGGAGACTAAAACATATGAGGAACGGTTGCTGGAATTGGGTATGTCTGGTTTAACGAAGAGAAGGACGAGGGGGGACATGACAGCAGTGTTCCAATATCTCAGGGGCTGCCACAAAGAAGAGGGAGTCAAGCTATTCTCCAAAGCGCCTGAAGGCAGGACAAGAAGCAACGGATGGAAACTAATCAAAGAGAGAAGCAACCTAGAACTAAGGAGAAACTTCCTGACAGCTAGAACAATTAACCAATGGAACAACCTGCCTCCAGAAGCAGTGAATGCTCCAACAGTGGAAGTTTTTAAGAAGAGACTGGACAGCCATCTGTCCGAAATGGTGTAGGGTTTCCTGCCTGAGCAAGGGGTTGGACTCGATGACCTCCAAGGTCCCTTCCAACTTTATTATTATTATTATTATTATTATTATTATTATTATTATTATTATTATTATTATTATCCTACCATCAGGGCACAGCTTTCAAATACTTCACTGATGTATTGATCTTCAGGTATAATGATGCTACCTCTCTCATCCCATTCTCTGTTCTAGCACAGACTGGCTAGAGACAACTATGGTAAATCCATATCATTTTCTCATATGGGGGAGGGAACTGTCTTGTTCCAATTACAAGTGAAATATTTTGCAGTATTTCTTCTGTTTCTGTCTGTCTCTGTCTCTGTCTCTGTCTCTGTCTCTGTCTCGGTGTCTGTCTGTCTGTCTGTCTGTCTGTCTGTCTGTCTGTCTGTCTGTCTGTCTGTCTGTCTGTCTATCTACTGCATTTTAACCACTGCACCATCAGGCCTCAATGGTGATCAGTGTTGCCCAAATGGGAGTCAAATTGGTAAATCTTTTTTGGTGGTACATATGCTTCAGAATTGGATAGTTTCTTCCATTGAATCTCTTATTGGATAATTTATAGGTTTAGCTGTCTGGGTAGTAATTTCATAGATATTTATCCATAGAGCCCATGAAGAGGCAAGGAAGACAAATAAGGAAATGTACATCAGAACATAAAACTCACAACTTACATTCTTGCATCAGCAATTGGGCACAAATAT